AAACCAATTTTTCTCAGCCACTCAAATGAAATGACCACCATAAAAAGATGCTCTCAAATTTTTACGACTGAAAATCTGTCGGCATTTTGCTCACAATCAGATTCTCATAACGGTACAAAATTATTCAGTTAATGCTTTTCAACTATCATCATTCACACCATCGTTTTAACGATGAAATATTTTTGTTGTTCTCTCACTGTACTTTACATTTTTTGTAGTGATGTTATTGTAGATTCGATGCATTTGATGTCATTCATTCACAGCTGACTGATACAACGAAACTAAATAAAAATATCTTCATTTATATCATATTATCTTCGGTTTTATCATCACAATTTACACTTATCAGATTATTCACACGAACGACTATTCATTCATCCATCAGCCACTCTAAACACACATCCATAAACACGAACTGCAATCTATAGGCAAATAGCACACGAAAATGCAATTAACTGTTTCAGTTAGATTAACAGAGACACCAATAGGAAATTGCCCATATCAAAGAGATTATATCGGATCACTGGAAAATTATTTCATTGGCTGTAAAAAAGAAATGATAAGAATGCTATCAGCTATAATATGAACATTTATAAAAATTATAAAATTATAATAACACTGATAAATATGAAATTATGTAGAACTGTAATTTATAGAGCAATCATCCAGCAGCACCTCTATCACCGGCATGCTCATCGACGTCGAATCGTTCGACAGGCTCAGAGGAAAGTGACGAGTTGGCAGCTAAACTGGCTCGACGAAACATGATCGTTGAAGGTTACTATTGTTGATTGAAGGCATTTTTCATCGCACATCACTAATGAATGGCAACGTTGACATATTGCAACAAAAGAACGCAAGATATACTAAGTGATCGAATTTCATCAGTCTAGATATCAACTGCTCAAAATTTCCAATGACCGTTTCCGCATATGAATATCGTATCCAGCCCTCGGAATAGACTGTCTTGACACCAGTCGTTTCCGCATATGAATATCTCCCATGAAGGCCCCGTAAAGTGATGCCGCTTCTTTCGGCCCTAGCGCACCGGAACTAATCTGGAGCATGCGATCTGTAGTCACGTGGCACACCTGAATGGTGGTACCAAATCGCCCCGCACTCTCCATCTCAATGTTAACCCAAGAGAAATAGCGAAAATGATAACCATAGTGACAA